TGTGAGAAGGTTGTGTGCTGGTCAGTGTGTGTATTTGAGTGGAGTATTAGAGGTGTGAGGAAGAGAAAGGGGGAGAGAAGAGGGCTAGAAGAGAGTGGAGTTGGCGAAGGCAAGGGGAGGGGAGTGCAGGCAAGTGGGGTGAGGAAGGGAATAGAGCGGTTGAGAAGGAAGAGAAGTGATGCAGGTAGAGTGAGTTGGCAGTTTGGAAGATAGATCAGGGGCACGAGGTGGAGAGGAAGGTACTAGAAAGAGAAGTGCAGGTGTAAAAGGAGAGGAGAGATAGGGGATAGGTGTAGGTGCAGGGAAAAAAGTCTTAGTGACAGAGGAACCAGTCGAGGATATAGGGAAAGTCACTAGCAGAGGAGAAAGTAACTGAAATAGGGTATAGGGAAAGTCACTAGACATAGAGAAGGAGATATAGATGGAAAGAAAAGAAATAGAGGAGATAGAAAGATTAAAGAAGACGGAGAAATGGGAGAGAAGAGGGAGCACAGGGACGGCAGAGGAGGTTTTGAAAAGGAAAAGGGAGGAATTAGAGGAAGTAGGGTTGAGAAAGGGAGAGAGGAAAAAGGGGATTTGGAGTGGGCGTTCAGGAGAAGTAAAAAGGTGATAAGGTCGCCAGAGGTTGAAAGAAGGGAGGAGGCAGGAGGGATAGGGGAGATATTAAAAGAGATGGGGAGGGAATGGAAGGAGGAGATAATTCAGGAGATGAGAGAGATAAGAAGAGAGATTAGAGAGGAGATTAAGGAGGGAGTAAGAGGGCAGGAGGAATTAAGGGAGAAGGTAAGGGGGCTAAAAAAGGAAATGGAGGAGAGGGAGAAAAGGTGGAGAGAGAGAGAGAGGAATTTATGGGAAGGATTAAGGAGATGGGGATGAAAATGGAAGAATTAGAGATAGGAAAAAAGGGGGAGAGAGAGAAAGGGGAGAAGGAAAAGGAGAGTGAGGAGATGGAAGATAGGATTAAGAGGATGGAATGGAAATGGGAGGGAAGAGAAAGGAAAGAGAAGAAAAGAGAAAGAATGTGATAATAAAAGGAATTAAGGGAGGAGAAGAGGGGGTGAAAAGGGGAAGTGGAGAGAAATTATTAAAAGATATAGGGGTAGGGGGGCAAGTAGAGGAAGTGAGGAGAATAGGGGAAGGGAGAAGGGACGGGACAAGTATAGCATTAGTAAGGGTGGGGAGAGATGGAGGTTAAAAGGGAGATAATGGGAAAAGAAAAGGAGGTTGAGAGGAAGGGAGGAGAGGATTGAAGAGGATCTAACGTGGAAAGAAAGAAGGATGATGTGGAGATTAGGAGAGTTGGCGAGAGGGGAGGAAAGAGAGGGAAGGAGGGCATGGGTAAGGTATGGGAGAATCTGGATGAGAGGTAAATGGTGGAGATGGGACGAGGTAAAAGAGGAACTAAAGGAAGAAGGAGCAGGGGATGAGAGGAGGGAAGAGAGGAGAGAGGAGGGAATAGAAGGAAAGGGGATGGAAACAATACAGGGAGACGGGAAAGGAGGGGAGGGGAAGGGAGTGGGGAAAGAAGGGGTGAAAAAGAGAAAGAGAGAGAGGAAGGAAGTAGGAGGTAAAGGGCAAGGGAGAGGAGGGGAAGAAGGAAAGGAGGAAGGAGAAGGGAGGAGGAAGGATGGAAGGTGGCGGGATTAAGAAAAAAGGACGCGGACTTCTGGGAAGCGGTAGGAGAATGGGATGTAATGTTTTCCTAGAGACATGGGTAGATAAAAAAGGGTGGGAAAAGATGAAAGGGAGGATGCCGGGAGGATATAAATGGGAAGTGCAATATGCGAGGAGGAAGAGTAAAAAAGGAAGGGCTATGGGTGGAATTATAGTGGGGGTGAGAAAAGGGGTAGGAATAGAAGGAAAGTGTAAGGCGGATAAAGAGGGAATGGTGGAGGTGATGATAGGAAAAGGAGGGGAGAAATGGAGGTTGGTGGGAGTGTACATAAATGGGGAGATTGAAGAAGAAGCTAGGGGAGATGAATGAGTGGATGGAGGGGGAGGGAGACAGAGTAAGAACGATAATAGGGGGGGATTTAATGCAAGAACGGGAAATTTAGGAGGAAGAGTGGAGATAGGAGAGGAGGAAGGAGGGGAAGGGAAGGGAAGAAAATCAAGAGATAAAAAAGTAAATGGGGAAGGGAGAAGGTTGGTGAAGAAGTTGGAGGAAAAGGGGTGGGCGATAATGAATGGAGGAGTAGCAGGGGATGAGGAAGGGGGATGGACGTATATGGGGCCGAATGGGAAATCGGTAATAGATTATATAATAGGTAATGAGGAGGTAAGAGAGGAAGTCAGGAAGTTAGAGATAGGTGAAAGGGTGGACTCGGATCACATGCCGTTAATAGTGTGGTTCGAAGGGAAAGGAGGAGGAGGGGAAAGAAAAGGAAAAAAGAGGAGGAGATGGAACTGGACGGAAGAGGGGAAGGAGGAATTTAGGGAGAAGATAGGGGAAATATGGGGAGAAGCAGAGGAATGAACAAGAAGAGAAGGGGTGTAGAGGGGGAGTGGGAGGAGAAGAAAAAGAAGATACAGGAAGTGTTAGATAAGGGGAATGAGAGAGAAGGAAAGGAGAAGAAAGAAAAAAGGAGAGGGTGGTTTGATAGGGAGTGTAGAAGAGAGAAGGGGGAGGTGGCAAAGGAGTTAAAAAGGTAGAGGAGGATAGGGGGGGAAAGGAGAAGAATACAGGAAAAGAAAAAAGGAGTATGAGAGATTATGTAGAAAGAAGAAGGAGGAGGAGAATGAGGAGTGGACGAAGAAAGCAATGGAAGCGAGGACGGAGGGGCAGGTTTGGGAGGTGGTTAGGAGGGAAAGGGAAAAAGGAAAAGGAGGAATGGGTGAGGGGATTGAGATGGAAGAATGGAACAGATATTTTAGAGATCTATTAGGAGGGGTAGAGTCGAGAGTGATAATGGGAGGAAGTAGGATGGAGAAGGAGGAGAGGAGAAGATCAGATAGAAAAGGGAGAAATTAGGAGGGCGATAAGTAGGATAAAGGAAAGAAAGGCGGTGGGGGTGGATGGGATTCCGGGAGAAGTGTGGAAATTTGGAGGAGAGGGAATAGAGAAGTGGGTATGGGAGATATGCAATAGGATATGGAAGGGGGAGGGGTGGATAAGGGAGTGGAGTGAGGGGCTGGTGGTGCCAATCTTGAAGAGGGGTGAGGGAAAGGAGGTTTCGGAGTACAGGGGGGTAACTCTGACACCGTCGTTATACAAAGTATATGCGACGGTGTTGGCAGAGAGATTGAAGGGAGAGATAGAGGAAAAAGGGATGTTACCACCGAATCAAACGGGGTTCAGGAAAGGAATGGGAACGGTGGATAATATTTATGTACTAAATTATTTGATAAACAGACAAATAAGTAGGAAAGGAAAGCAAATGGTACTACTGTTTGTGGACCTGAGAGCAGCGTTTGATTCGGTGGACAGAGTGAAGTTGATGGCGGCGCGTTAAGAGGGAGGGGGGTGAAGGAAGAGACGGTGAGGAGGTGCGAGGAAGTGCTAGGAGAGATAGGGTTCAGGGTTAGAATAGGGGAGGAGGTGGGGGAGAAGTTTTGGACGGGGAGGGGGGTGAGACAGGGATGCCCACTGAGCCCACTTCTGTTTAACATGTTGATGGCGGACTTGGAGGAGGAAATGAAGAAAGGAAGGAAGATGGGGGGGGTGTGAAGAGGGCAAGGTTTATACGCTAGCGTACACGGATGACGTGGTGCTGTTGGCAGAAGATGAGGGGGGGATGAGGTGTATGATGGAGAGTTAGGGAGATATCTGGAGGGGAAGGGACTGGAATTGAATGAGAAGAAGTCGAAGGTGATGAGATGCAGGAAAGGGGGGGAGGGAGGTTAAAAAAGGCTAGTTGGTATTGGAAGGGAAAAAATTAGAGGAGGTAAAGGAGTACAAGTATTTAGGATATGTGATTCAAAGGAATGGGGGGCAAGAGGAACAGGTAAGGGACAGAATAAAGAGAGGGGCAGCAATTATGGGACAGGTATGGGGAATAGGTAAGAGGAGATTTGGGAATAATTGGGGGAGGAGGTTGTGGCTCTTCGATGCGTTAGTATGGACGGTTTTAGGATACGGGGGGTAGAGATATGGGGATGGGAAGAGAGAGAGGGATTGGAAAGGATACAAGAAAGGTATCTGAAATGGATGTTAGGAGTGGATTGGGGAACGCCTGGATATATGATAAGGGAGGAATTGCAAAGGGAAAAGATAAGGACAAGGATGGGAAGAAGAGCATGGGGTTATGAGAGAAGGCTAGAGGAGGGTAAGGGAGGATGGTTGGCGAGAATATGTTTGGGGGAGATTAAAGAAAGGGCAAAGAAAGGAGGGGAATTGTCAGAGTGGGAGAGAGAAAGGAGGGAATTTTTGAGGGTAAGGGGATGGTATTAAGGGAGATAGAGGAAAGAAGAGAAAAGGGGGAGTTCAGATGGAAAGAAGTTGAGGAATGGGAAGGAAAGGAACAGAGGGAAGAGAGGGCAGGAAAAATGATAAAATCGGAATATAATAAGTGGTACAAACAGATTAAAGGGGAGGGGATTCCGGGCTATCTGAAGAAAGGGTGGGCGGAAGGTAGATGGAGGAGGATGGCAAGGTATAGACTGGGGAATGAAGTGAAGGGAAATAGGTATTGGGAAAAGGAGGAGGATAGGAAGTGCAGGATATGTGGGAGAAGGTTAGAGACGTGGGAGCATGTATGGGAGGAATGTATGGATTGGGGAAAGGAAGAGAGCTGGCAGGAAATGGTAAAGGAGATATTAGGAGAGGAGGGAGAAGGGGAAATATGGTTAAAAAGGTTAGAGAAAGCAAGAGGGAAAGGGGAGGGGAGGGGAGAAGGAGAAGGAGGAAAAAGGAGGACAGGGGGATGAGAGAGGGTAGGAGATGGGGGGAGAGAGAGAGGGGGAGAGTGAGTGTGAGAGTGAGTGTGTGAGAGAGAGAGAGAGAGAGAGAGAGAGGGAGAGGAAAGGAGTGGAAGAATAATGGTAACCGGAAGCGGAGGTCCAACATAGGCTAAGTAGAATGTAAGATTGCGTAGGGTTAAGTTAAGTTAGGATAAGAAAGGTTAGGGAAAGGCGGACGTGTGTGTGTGTAGGTAGGGCAGAAATGCGAGAAAAGAGGAAAAAGGCAGCGAAGAGGAGAGGCGTGGCGAAAATTGAATATGTATTGTAATTAGGTTAAGTTATAGGTATAAGTTTAGGTTAAGGAAAAAGGGTAAAGAAAGGAATAAAGGTTTGGGAACGCTCCTTTAAAAAAAAAGCGCCTTGTAATCCCCAATTGGGGCGGCAATAAATATATCTAATCTATAATATTCTATTACGCGGACAATATCTTTGATGCGTTTTGAACAATGTCAAAAAAAAAAAACAATTTTATTGTGTTCAATATATTATATTTTTTTAGACAACAAAATATATTTTTACTGTTGAATCATCTCGCACACGCGTTTTTATCTAAGCGTGTCAATGACAGTAAAACATACATACACAATTGTGTCTATCTTTATCACATAGTTTGAACACAATAATATTTTACATATATATATATATATATATATATGTATGTATGTATATATGTATGTAGATTAGGGTGTAAAAATTTTTTTGGACGGTTTGAATAGGGAGGAGAATAATATTTAATTTATTTGCGGATTCTACTGAAGAAGACCCGAAGTGGGTCGAAACGTTTAGAATTTAATAAATGAGTTTGACTTGAGATCTCATTTTAATTTATTAATTTTGTGCATGTCATCCGCATAGGCTCCGATTGCCGTCGAGATTTTATTTTTATTGTAACACAATAATTCGAGCCGAGATTAATAGTTTTTTTATATTAAAATTTTTTTTGTCCACATTCTAGCTAACAAGTTATATGCGTGTGTGTGTGTATGTGTAGAAACAGGCCTATCTTTTATAATTGATATATATAGTATATATATATATATATATATATATATATATATATATATATATATATATATATATATATGTATGTATGTATGTATGTATGTAGATTAGGGTGTAAAAATGTTTTTTTGTCCACATTCTAGCTAACAAGTTATATACGCGTGTGTGTGTGTGTGTGTGTGTGTGTGTGTGTGTAAAAACAGGCTTATCTTTTATAATTAATTATAAAGTAATTAATTCTTTGTAATAAATAAATGATTTATATAAAATTTTATTTTTAGAGATTGAAGAGTATTTTTGAGATTGAATAGATAGTAACACTGTTATTATCAAAACAGAGCAGTAGTTAGATAAGAATAAATCATATAATCATAATCATTTATTTATTACAAAAAATTATCCACTAAACTTTATAATCAATTATAATCATAAAAAATTTTTATATATTTTTGATTATAAATTTAATTATATTTATTTTGGCAATGTAGATTATTTAAAAAAAATTATTATATACGTGTGCATGTATGAAAAAATGCAATGTAGAAGAGAGAAAATAGACAGAGAGATAGAGACAGATAGATCAATAGGTATTATAGATAAATAGATAAATAGACAAATAGACAAACATATAGATAGATAGATAGATAGGTAAATCGATAGATATTTCGATAGATAGACGACAGATTGCTAAATAAATCGATATATATATATGTGTATATATACATATACAGGGTGTCCCAAAAAGATCGAAACACTGAAAAATCTCGAACGATTTGCATGTCCGTTCTGGTTATTAAAAAAAGATATTTTATACTAGAAACGATATATTCGTCTGCTAGTTGCTTTTAAAAATATCTTCTCCCAGAACGATTTGCATGTGCGTTCTGGTTATTAAAAAAAGATATTTTATATCAGAGACGATATATTTGCCTGCTAATTGTTTTTAAAATATCTTCTTCCAGAACGATTTGCATGTGCGTTCTGGTTATTAAAAAAAGATATTTTATATCAGAGACGATATATTTGCCTGCTAATTGTTTCTAAAATATCTTCTCCCAGAACGATTTGCATGTGCGTTCTGGTTATTAAAAAAAGATATTTTATACCAGAAACGATATATTCGTCTGCTAGTTGCTTCTAAAAATATCTTCTCCCAGAACAATTTGCATGTGCGTTCTGGTTATTAAGGTTAGTATCCAATCGTTAGTACCTACGATACAATGCCTGGAGTCAAATTCAAATACAGGTACGTGTAGTAAAAATGTCGAACTTTGCGAAGATAACAATCATTTTGTTATCTGGAGAATAGCCCTCTGGATATAAATCGTATCCAGGAAAGCATGCGCTCAAAGGCGTCGCATTGTCGACTCTTCTCATATGTGGAATGAACTTCAGAGATCATTCAATAATCATATGCAAGAAATAGAGTGCCAATTTAAAGATTGGAAACTCATAAAAACTAAAACCGAAGGCTAAGAAGAAAATGGCTCTAAGAATAGCACATATAAAAATATTAGCAATGAATTCGTCGATTTTCAAAAATCGGTGGAATTATTCTCAGATATGATGGATTCTAAAGTTAGTATTCAAAAAGTGTCGCCTTTTTCTAAATAATAAAAATTTATCAAATCAATAATTTGTTATATTCCAATACATATCGTTGCAAAAAGACGCTTTGATGCAAATGTCTCGTTTGCTATAATGGGATAGACGAAAAAAAAACATTTTGTAGCTGCGTTCTCACGGGAATGGGCGATGGAGGGGCCCATTTTATCCTCGATATTTAAAAATGATTATATAATATTTTTTCATTATCGAGTTACATATAATTATCAATATAATTATTTATCATTCACATGTGTGTGTATGAATATATTTACTGAGCATTCACATGTGTGTATAAATATATTTACTGAGTGTTCTAAATAAAACGTTACAATTTTTTATTTCTAAAAGTATAATTTTTAGAAAATAATACTGCAAATAAAAGTTCCAGTATTTCAACGGAGATATACATATTTTGATGTTACAGAAATGTTTGTAGAAGGCAATTTTCAATATCATTAGTCAACTTGATTATTTTATATTGATTAGTCTAAGTATTTATGTAAATTTATTCCTTGTAAGATATTCTGTATACAGGGTAAAAGTCAATAATCGAACGGTTTACGAGATATTTTACATAATCTAACATATTTTGATATAAAAAATAAAAAATATTTCGTAAATAAAATATTTAGTGTTCGATAATACTTTTATGTATAGAATAATTATAGACAAATAAAAAAGATACACAGTAAAAAAAAATATACAATTTGCTACATGCAACTATATATATTTTTTCGTAAAAATAACATGTTTGTTGTTTATACCAATTGTTTTGTCTAATTATTCTATACATAAAAGCAAGACGATTGAAAACTAAATATTTTACGAGATATTTTGTATTTTATATCAAAAATATGTCAGATTATGTGAAATATCTCGGAAACTGTTCAATTCTTGGCTACATTTTTTTATATTTTTATGCAGAATATTACAAAAAATCTATTTACATAAACGCTTAGAATAATTCTATATAAAATAATTAAATTGACTAAATAAATAAGCTTGAAAATTGCCTCTTACAAACATTTCTATGACATCAACTATGCCTCCTTTGAGATACTAAAATTTTTATTTGAAACATTTTTTTCTACAAACATTTTTAGCGATAAAAATTTGTAACGCTTATTGAAACACCCGGTACATATTTATTACATCTCTATTCTTCCTATATTTATATATATATATATATATATATATGTATATATAATGTTAGATTATATAAAATATCTCGTAAACCGTTCAATTATTGACTTTTACCCTGTATGCAGAATATGTTACTAGGAATCAATTTACATAAATACTTATTATTAGACTAATCAATATAAAATAATCAAGTTGATTAATGATATTGAAAATTGCCTTCTACAAACATTTCTGTAACATCAAAATATGTATATCTCTGTTGAAATACTGGAACTTTTATTTGCAGCATTATTTTCTAAAAATTATACTTTTAGAAATAAAAAATTGTAACGTTTTATTTAGAACACTCAGTAAATATATTTATACACACACATGTGAATGCTTAGTAAATATATTCATACACACACATGTAAATGATAAGTAATTATATTCATATATACACATGTGAATGATATATATATTATATATATATAAAAATTGCATGTAAATATATAAGCAAAAAAACAAATATATATATATATATATATATATCTCCACTTACCCACGTCTCTGGACTTTACTCCATTAGACATCTACTGCAACACTTTAATATAGCGAGAATTTCAAATTTAAATTTGTTCGGATTTAAGTGGCGGACCTTGTATATATATATATATATATATATATATATATATATATATATATCCACTTACCCACGTCTCTGGACTTTACTCCATTAGACATCTACTGCAACACTTTAATATAGCGAGAATTTCAAATTTAAATTTGTTCGGATTTAAGTGGCGGACCTTGTATATATATATATATATATATATATATATATTAATGTTGGTAAACAAACGCATTTTTAAGCCAGCGTGTATCAAATATAAGAGTTTTAACAAGGCTCTGTAATATAAATATAAATTTAACGTATAAGACGGGCCAACATTTATATATATAACAGAGACGGGCCAACATTTATATATATAACCAACATTAATATATATAACAGAGAAAAGTATAGAATCGAAAGGATCTGAATAGCTCAGCTGGAAGAGCAGTCGCCCGGCAAGCGAAAGGTCTCGGGTTTCGATTCCCGATTCAGCGATTTTCGGATCTATATTTTTCTCTTGCATTCATTTATTTATTTTCCGTAGGGGGGTTAAAGGGGGTATTGAAATTAAATCTCAAATATGAGATTATTTCATATTTAAAATCTTAGCCGTGTCCAAGTAAAATTTGGTGCCTTGTGCACCGGTATTTAATTCTAACGGAAAATTATTTAGTTTCGTTAGGATAACGCATTGTCATCCGCGATTTGGCTCTTGTTGCCCGTCTTATACGTTAAATTTATATTTATATTACAGAGCCTTGTTAAAACTCTTATATTTAAAAAATTATGTTGTAAGCAATAAAATCAGAACTATTTATTCGCGATATTTAAGTCATTCATCGGCATACTGTTATATATAAATTACGCAATAATAATTTTTAACGTAATCTTGATAAACTATTCTATTATTACATCAAAATCATAACTTGAATTTGTATAGTTTTCCTTTTTAAATTAAGTATACTTATAACAGATAAAAACTGAAATCTCATTTTTTATATACAAAAATCTTCATTCACACACACAAATCACTTTAATAATAATTTTATATTAAAAATATATAATGTTTTAAGATAAGATAAGAATTTTTTAATAAGACTATACATAAATAACTATATTGAACTGTGTCATTATCAACAATTTCATATCAGATAAATACGAGATAAGTAATAAGAAATTATACTTTAAATATTATATATTATATATATACATATATATATATATATATATATATATATATATATTTGATTATACACTTAATTTTGTTTAAGATAAAAGTATATACAGAATTATTGGAAATTTATGGAACGAAAACGCCACAATCTGCTCCAATAAAATACGAACATTTACAACATATGGATTACTTGAACCGTGTTATTAAGGAAACTTTGAGAATATTTCCTACTATTCCGCTATTTTCACGACAACTAACAGAGGATTTAGAAATGGGTATGTACGATATGAATTGAAGTATAATAATATATATTTTTTACAAATATAAATATGTAATTATTATGTTATTGTTATTTAAAATTTATACACAAAAAGAAATCTTAAATAATAACTATAAATTACAATTGCAAATATAACGTTATTTTTTAAGAATTTTTTTTGTTTAAATTAAAATAAGCATCTCAAGATCTAATGGTGTACAATTTAATATAGAAGCAATATTATCTTAAATTTTTTATGCAATTTATTTTGTTTTTTTATATAAGCAAATTTGCGAGATTTAAAAAAATGCAGATAACAATGTATTATTTTTTATATAATTTTAAATAAATTATGTTTTTCTCTTTTTACTTATTAGATTGAGTTGCGCATATATTTATTAAATCTCTGTAAAAAAAACTAAAACATAAGAGTTGGCCTACTCTTATTGTTTTATTAATAAAATCTATTTATTATGTTTTTATTATGTATTATTATGCTTCTATTATAGTTCGAACAATAATTATATTTAAGTACAAAAATTAATGTTTTAGAAGAATTTATTTTACCAAAAGGGGCTAATGTTGTCATAGAGTTACTTACGTTACACAGAAACGAAAAATTTTGGTCTAAACCGTTAGTATTCGATCCGGACAGCTTTCTTCCTCAAAATATTGGAACATCTTATCAGCATTATTACATGCCATTTAGTATGGGACCCAGAAATTGTATAGGTAGATATGAACAAATCACAAACATGTTTTCCAATGAGATTTATTTGCATATATAAGTAACTAACAAACTTTTCCAGGTATGCAATATGCGATAATGTCAATGAAAGTTATCCTAGCAACTTTGATAAGAACATTTATATTCAAAGTAGAAAAGAGCATTCAGATAGATAAAATTAAACTAACTGTAGACCTAATATTATCTACTGTTGAACCTTTAAAAATTAAAATTGCAAAACGAGATATGCATTAAAATGAAAGAAAAACATATTCATTTAAAGAGAATGGTATTTTTGGTAAATATACGATCGAAGTCAAAATCGTTTGCAGAAGAATGAACAAGGGGAGAGCAGAAGTTAATCCACTTGGCCTATTAAGCTTTTGTAAAAGAGTGATTTTAATTACAGCTTGAAAATTTTAAGTATATTATAAGTATAGTATTTTTATATTACTTAAATATGTTATATTAAAATGCTGAACGATTATATCGATTGTATGTTTAAGTATACAAAAATTATTAAATTACTGTAGTTAATATATAATTTTAGAAATAAACGTATAATGTAAAAGAAAAAATTCAGACAATATTAAGAATATTATTATTCGGCTCTCGAAATAGACATACAATATATTGTTACGTCCCTGGTTTTACATTCCCTGAGCGCCTTCATCCCTTTCATCCCCTGAACATTATCGTTAGATGGGTTGTTTATTAACAACCGGCATGCGGCTGTTTTCCGGCGCCACTTGGTTTTCGGGACCGAGCTGTCACATCGCGAGGACGCATTTCTTCGACGGCTATCAATATCTTTGTATTCCGGGCTTTCATATCTTGTATTTTGTTGTCTTATTAAATCCGCTTCGCATATAAACACGACTTATTCCTTTCACGCGCAAGTGAGTGCGTGAGTGTGAGAGACGCTTTTGCGAGACATCGCAAAGGTCATCCCGAGAACGTAACAATATATATGTATCGGCTCTAGAGTCTAAACGCAATATTTTTTGAAAAAATTAATTTTCGGACGCAAAAGACATCGCGTTTAGGCTCTACAACCGATACATATACAGGATGTCCGGTGACTCACGTATCACCTTTCGTAGGCAGATAAAACAGGTCAAACCGAGTAGAAAAGTTCTGTACCATTTTGCGAAATTCTTAATAATTAATAATACGCGCACTTACAAGCGATAGGAGAACCGCTTCGCCGCACGCTAAGCAACGGTGTAATTATATAAGCTGTCTCTTCTCGCCGCGCGCTTGTAAGCGCGCGTATTGGTCGATCTTTATTAATTAATTTCTCATAATTATTAAGAATTTCGAAAAATGGTAGAGGACTTTTCTACTCGGTTTGACCTGCTCAAAATGGAATACTCAAAATATACTAAAAGAAAAATTATGAACTTTTTTACTATATCTTACATCAAAAATCAAAATTTTTTTTACAATATAATTCCATAAAGTATAATTTCTTCAGATTCTGACGATCCTTGGTTGGGATATATTGTGGCTGTCTCACAATTTCAATTTAATTTTAATTTTGACTTGTATATTTTACTATAAATTGAGATTGATTGTTGCTTTATAATGAGTTAAATATTACTTGTTGTAATAGAGCGAATCATATTTCGTATTTTGGTCTCTCTGTGTATATCGCTAAGTATTTTGGCGTGATCACGACGCGATCACGTGTAACTGCGCACGAAAATCACGCGGAGCACACATGAGAATTCGGAGCATACGGAAGGGTATACTATCCCTTCACTCTCGTGCGACGTATCGTGGCGACCGGTACTAGCTGTTGTAGACTCTTGTGCCTGGCGTAATAAAATCTCTCTGGAGTATTCCGCGCTATACTTGTGTCATAATTACACTCAAATACACTGACAGTATTGTGCATACACATCTAAGTTGTAGTCTTTAATTCCTTACTCAACCAACACAAACAATAAACAACAGGTTATGGGCCCAGAGACCTGTGATTGAGTAAGAGAAACTCGAGTGATAGTTATAGTGTGACTGAAAGCAGTAGTAATAGCGATAATTTTACAAAAAAAAAACTTGAAAACAAAAGTGCCTGTGATTTGAGTGATTTTGAGTCTGACGATATGGCTGAGACAAAGTTGTACAATTTGCATCGCTTCAACGGACAAAATTACCAGTTATGGAAGCGGCAAATGGAAATTTTCATGGTCGAGAATAAATTGAAAAGATACGTCGATGGATCAATGGCGAGGCCCACTGAGGATGCTGTGGCAATTGCACAGTGGGAGGCAAAGGATGCCGAGGCGCAAGCTTTCTTGATGCGAGGACTGGAGCTTGACCAACTGCGTTTTCTCACTGATTGTAAGACTGCTGCTGAAATGTGGGGACGACTCAGGACCATCCACGCGGAGAAGAGTGATCAATCGGTACAGGTATTATTGGGTCAATTTATAAACGCAAAAATGGACGCGACGGAATCAATGGCAGATTATATAGCAAAAATAATTTCGCTCACGCAGCGACTGAAAGACATGAATATGGAGCAAAAGGAGCCAATGATTATTGTTAAGATCATGTCAAGTTTACCTGAAAAGTACGATAATGTTCGCACGGCTTGGTATGCGGTTCCGAAAGGCGAACAAAGGTTGGATAAATTGACGGATCACCTTGTAAATGAAGAAGCTTTGCTAAACATTCGGAGTAGCACCGCGGAGCAAAAAGGCGAAGAAGCGTTCGTGGCACGCGGGAAACGATTGGGCGGTCACGGTAACAACAGCAAGGGATCACGTGATCCTGAATCGAATAGGAATAATGTAAGGCGAGGTAAATGTCATTTTTGTCATAAGGTAGGGCATTGGGCGCGAAACTGTAATGACAAAAAGGCATATTTAGAAAGTAAGAACAAAAATCACTCTCTGCTCACTGAAAATGCATCGAAAAACAATAATAAAGGCGAATTATTCAATGTTGAAACTTTAAGTAACTTTGATGATGATGATATGTGGTATGCTGATTCCGCAGCATCTGAACACATGTGCTTAAATCGCGAATTGTTTAAAAGTTTTCATGAAATTAATAATGAGAGTCATAAAGTAAAGATTGGCGATGGAAATTTGCTTACTGTTGCTGGCATTGGTGACATAGATGTGAAGGTCAGAAATTCCAATGGATCATGTTATAAACACACGATCTGTAACGTTTGGTTTGTTCCGGGAATTAAAAAAAACCTTCTGTCAATCGGCCGAGCATCTGAGAGAGGCATGAAAGTGATTTTTGAAACTGGCGGAAATAGGGTTTTGTTTTATAAAAACAATCAATTAATCGTTGATGGTTTTCGCAAGAACGGCAAATTATATAAACTAAATTTTATGCCTGTAAATAAAGTCGTTGATTCCTGTGTTGCTGTAACTGATACTTTAATGGAGTGGCATGAAAAATTAGGCCACGTAAATTTTCAAACTTTACGACAGATGATCTCAAATTCATGTGTGAATGATTTAAATGTGTCCGATTTAAATGATGTAAATCCATTTTGCGAGGGCTGTATTGCGGGAAAACAGCATAGAAATATTTTCCCAAAGGAAGGTGCGACGAGGGCTAAGAGTCCGGGAAAGTTATTTCATGCAGACTTATGCGGAAAAATGAGCCAAAGCTCAATTGGAGGGGCGAATTATTTTCTTTTGTTGAGAGACGATTTTTCGAGATACTGTTTCGTGTACTTTCTGAAAGAAAAATCTGACGTCTTTAATGCCTTGCAAAAGTTCTATGCAGAAGTTCAAGTTGAAATTAAGGGACTGAGAACTGATCGCGGAAAAGAATTTTGTAATGATGATGTTGAAAATTTTTGATTAGCAAGCGAATTAATCATCAATATTCGACGCCAAGAGCACCCGAGCAAAATGGATATATTGAGAGAATGAACAGAACTATTGTTGAATCGGCAAAAAGCATGTTGCATGCGAGACAGCTACCACTATATCTATGGGCGGAGGCGACTGCGGTAGCAGTATATGTTAAGAATAGGACCGCAACAAATACTCTGAAGGGTCGAACGCCGCACGAATTGTGGCATGGAGAAAAACCGTCGATTGCGCATTTAAAGGTTTTCGGTAGCACCTGTTATGTTCATATTCCGAAGGACCGAAGAACTAAGTGGGAGTCGAATACTCATAAAATGATGATGATCGGCTATCATTCTGAAAGTAAAGCGTACAAGGTTTTTGATCCTGTTTCTCGGAAATGCTATGTGCGGCGAGACGTCATTTTTGATGAACGTCCGAACACTGATGAAAGTGTTGTGATGGTCAAAAATGAGACTGAAGACCCACAAGAACGTGAAGAGTGTGTAAAAAGTCCGGTTCGGAGAAATCCGAGAGAACCTATTCCAAGAGAGCCGTATCTGCTCAGAGATAGATTGCCCTCTCTGACTGACTCAAAACGGATGGCTGATCTGAAAGTTGCAGAAGCGATGTATCTGGCTTGTGAACCTGTGTCTCTGAAGGAAGCGCTTCATGCTGAAGACTCGAATAAATGGATCAAGGCGATTGGAGAAGAGCTTGATTCCCTTGAAGAAAATGAAACTTGGTCATTGGTGAAGAGGCCTGAAAACCAAAATGTAATTTCGAACCGATGGATCTTCAAGAAGAAGTATGCGGCTGGTGGAGAAATCGATAGGTACAAGGCTCGACTTGTCGCGAGAGGTTTTTTGCAAAAGGAGGGGGTTGATTACGATGAAATATTCTCCCCTGTAGCAAAATACAGCACCGTACGAGCGCTTTTGTCGATTGTCGCTGCTAGTAATTTTGAAATGATTCAATTTGACATAAAAACGGCCTTTCTTCATGGCGATCTCGAGGAGACCATATACATGGAACAACCTTTTGGATTTGAGATTGATGATCGAGTTTGTCTACTGAAGAAGAGCTTGTATGGCTTGAAACAAGCCTCGAAACAGTGGAACAAAAAAATTCATAATTTCTTTGTTGAATTTGGACTGACTCAATCGAAACAAGACGCCTGTCTGTATTATTATAAAACTAAAGATTTTATGCTTTACGTTGTATTGTATGTGGATGATGGTCTGATTTGCGGGAATGATAAGGTGAAAATGAACAATTTGCTAGATAAACTGAGTGAAGCGTTTAAGGTAAAAAGTACTCATGCTGAATTTTTTGTAGGCATGCAGATAGAAAGAGATAGAGAATTAGGTATCTTGAAAGTGCATCAGAATGCATATGTTACTAAAATTCTTGAAAGATTTCATCATGAAAATTGCTCATCTCTCTCTATTCCAGCTGATCCTAATATTA